AATCCGATGATATACAACCCATATTTTATTAATTTTCTGCTTAGTATCAAACTGTGTCTTCTTAATCTCAGAGGTATCCTATGTATCCCCATTGTATCCTCCGTATCCCCGATGTATCCTCCGTATCCCCGATGTATCCTCTATATCCTCCGTATCCTCTGTATCCCGGCCGTATCCGGGATAGACGGAATCCGCTTTTTCCCCCTTGCCCCACACTCACACCCCACAACCACACCCACACCCACACCCGCACCCCAACTTTTCGAGAGAATGGCTTCCTACTTCGACGAGATCTATCCAACGAGACTAAGCCGAACTTCCTAAAGCTTAAAATAACGAAAGGTGACCGGATACTTGGAAAAAAGCGAAGTCTTTTTGCACTAATTGACCAAAATAACATTGAATATGAGGAGATGCTGCCTTGAAACGATGGAGTGCTGGTTGCTCTTGCACAGTTAAGTGGAGAACCGCTCAAATGTTATATTTATCAGGGCTTTTGACGGCCATTTTCTTGCTGTATCTCTCGCGCACATATCGCAATACTGTTGGTACCAAGAGGGGCGTTTCACTAAGAGAGCGCGATACACAAGCGAGGGAGGAGTTTACGTCTCCCCTTAAATTCTTGTCAAGAAACATCTCTAGAAATATCCTTAAATAGAGACTCTGATGAAACACCAACATTAACTGAAGGTAGACTGAACAAATGACGCAGAATCTTTTTAAAAATCGAAACGGAGTATCTTGGAATACAATAGCTATACCAAGTGAAGTTGATAGAATATCAGTGCAACATGTATTAGAATATTCGTTTCTTAATCTTAAACTTAAAAATTCTTTTGTTACGAAAGCAAATTTAGATTCAATTAAACAGCTATTTAAATCATGGAAAAAATGTATATATGCTCTAGCGTTAATTATATTTAAATTAATACCAGATCGTGATGTAAAGTCAAAACAACTTGCAATAGGTTTATCATGAATTTGAATATTATTAGGTGATTATATATTACCATATAATCAAATTAAACGATTTATCTGATAATAAATTTAATGAGACATCATTAAAAAATATATAAAAAACTCTTTTCGCACTATATTTGCAGTAGACATAAAAGTTATTGGAATATTATGACATATCAAAAGAATCTCGAAGAAGAATCGACTCAGCGTTTTTTAGAAAAAAAAGTTTTATATTAAATTACTATCGGGGGCAACGTATACAATATACATATACAGCATGTATTTATTCATAAACGAAATTCCTTGTCTACGGGGGATTGTTATACTTTAAAACCTATCGAATATCGAGACGTCTTTTTTGTTCTTTTCTTTAAGTTCTTAAATATCTTTCATCTTTATGTGAATATGGTGATTCTCATATACGTGCTGCATATAGAAATTTACTTGCTAAATTAATCCAATCAACATTTCATCTTTCAACATTATCATCATTAGGAGATTCAGTAAATATTTCTTTTTTCATCAATTGTTACTTCTATGAAATAATTCGCAAGACAGTTCAAAATTAGGTTACAAAACTACCCTCCTCTTTTTTCATAATCATTATTTTATTTGCTTTTTTTTATAGACATTCAATTAGGTATATTAGCTGAATTACTTTCTACATTTCGATTACATCTTAGTGATAATCATGCACGTGTTTTAGGTCTTCCATTAAATGTTTTATGAACATTATTATCTTTTTTTTATTAACTGATAGTCATACATTTTCAATCATGGGAACTGAATGATTGGGAGATTCAGTTCAAGATAATGTATGTTTTTATATTCTTGCTAAAGTAGACCGATGAAATTTACGATTATAATAATTTTTTGTATATAAAATAGGTTGCTCTAGCTCCACTTATAGGTTATATTGATATTCGAATATTAATTTATCTTAAACAACAACAAAAAACAGAACAGTGAATTTTTCAATAAGAATAATTATACAGAAGAGCAAAAATATCTTGTCTTTTATTATGCTTTTATTTAGAATCGCTCATGACTTAATCATTGTTTTCATATTATCTTTCAATGCCTTAGTAATAATAATACACGTATTCGTAAAGGAATTGCTTCGACTTTTGCTAAGTATGTATATTCTAAAGATGTTAATCAGCTAGCTTCTTTTCTCGAATCATTCCATCCGACAGTCTTCATGTGATATTAACATAAGAAAAATGCTAACTTCTTTTGCAGCCTAACATTTTTCAATTTGCTTTTATGGAAATAGACGATACGAGAAAATATGAGACTTTCATATTAAACTAATTCTATCGAGAAATTTCAATGCATAAGTCGATTTTATTGCAGTAAGTTAGTTATTTACTATTTTTGCATTTCAAGGTTTTGTTGATTACTGTTCATTTTTCAAATGTCAACGGTCAATGCATTATTTACTTAAGTCAAATGAAGTAAAATGTGAAACAATATTATGTTTATCAACTTTAATATTTGTTCGTTTAATATTTTAAGATGAACAACACTTCGACCAAATTTTTTTCATAATTAATATGTTGAACTTCGTTTGCTTATCTTTTTAAATCTTCATCTATATTAAATGATCTTGATAATTGACAACTATGAATCAATATTATTAATTGAATCATTTCAAGTAAGGAGAAAAACATATTTATTATATTTTTCTGAATTTTTTCTTCTTGTTTTACGATTTATCAAATAATGCAATTGATTTGAATCAGCTTCCATCGACAGAAAAAATTTTCCTTTTTTAATCAAGTAAAATCATGTTTTTTTTCTTAAAGATCTTTTAGAAAAATGTATTTTTCTGTTACTCATAATAATAAAAAAGATGTTTTGAAAGTAGCGTAAATAATTCAAATAAGTCGAAAATCGAACTAATTTCCTCATAAGGAACACAAAAAAATTCTTTCGTCAGTTTTCATTGAATATTTTGATAGAATTATTTCAAAAATATTCACAGTCATTATTTAATATTGGGTGGAAGATAAATTTCTATAGTCGATTTTTCAGTTCTTACTGCAGAAAAGGAGTTGTAAAGTTTTAGATCCTAAGAATATATTCGATCGCGTATCTGGTTTATGGAAGGATAGTTGACTTTCATGTTCAATTTTCAGAACATCTGAGCCAATTCATTTTTTTTCTCTTTAAAGGGAAAACAGAGTTTATCGTACAATTTTAGGTGCTTCTGGAAATAATCCATCTACAATGAAACTATTGCAATTATTATTTACATCATATCACATAGATAAAAGTTTATTAAATTCATTTGAAATGAATTGCTTAGTAGAATTACTTTCAACAACACTAATCTGTATGAAATCAGCTTTAAATCTTATTTCTGCACAGGATCTATCAAAACATTTGGATGAAACACTAAATTATCTTAAATCAACATTTAATGTTAATAGAATAAAAACTATTCAATATACACAAGAGGTCAGTTTTTTAAACGGTAAAGATTCATTGCAAAGAAAACATTTCAATTTTGAATCGTGTTTGTATACCTAATTGAGGTCTTTTATGTGTCTAACCTAGAAAAATAAATGGTGAACGTGTAAGATCTTTTCATTTGGTTTTATTTGGATATCTGCATATTTTATCGACTATTTTCGGTGAGCGATATGTAAAAAACACTATTATCAACATTCTATCCTAGGATAGGAACAGCAAAAAGGTCTCAACCATTGTCATGACCTTATCTATATGGAACTCTTTCATTCAGAGTTTGAAAATTATTTTTTTGCGTTAATACAACATTCGTTTAAAAATATTTTTTTTTATTTAGTTTTGATGAAACCTTCATCAACTAGCAATCGTTTCATCATTCTTTGCTGCAAAAAAAAATCTACAAACGTTTTTTCGCAAGTATCATTAATCATTCCGTGACTTATATTCCTACAATAACTATTTAACAGCTGATCATTTAGCTATTTGCTTCACGTCACGCATTAACTGTAAATAGTGAAACGAGAGTAAAATTAAAGAAATTCGATCTATTCTGTTTTTTTCTCTATTTCATAGGTTTCATTTAAATCGAAATTAGTCGTAAAAAGAATATGTTCATTGAAATGAAAGTGATTTTCAAGCTGCCATATTCGATTTGTTCAATTCTTTCTGATTCATTTTATTTCTAATTTATTAGATATTGATGAGGATGTGGGTGGAAAGACGATTCGTATCCACACCCACACCTCACACCCACGCCCCACACCCACACCCTGGTTTTATTTGTATCTTTTCCCCTAAATTGTTCAAATTTCTCTTGGATATGATTGTTTTTTTTTAAGTGGAAGGTGTTAGTGGGTGAGTGGATGTGCTTGTGGGTGGGTGTATGTGTTCATCTGATCTTCATTTACATTCACACCCACTTTCACTTTCACTTTCATAGTTGATAGCGGGATGATCAATATTGTTTTTATCATTCAGATACTTCATCAGTGTATCGACATCTATTGACTATGCATAAAAGCAAGAAAAAGCTTCTCATAGATTATAGATATAGTATTTGAACGTAGATGTGTTGCTCGATTACAGTCGATCGTTGAAAATAACCCAATATAGTAAATTGTGCTCAGAATGAAACACAAAACAGGACTTTTATCCTTCCGTCGAAATGAATATTCAAATTCTGTTGGTAGTTTTAACCGTATTTTTTCTGTGAAACGAATCTGAGAATGTCATGAGTGATGAAGAAATGAATCGTTTGTTGCTCTATAATCAAGTGTAGTTTTGCATCAGCTTCATGCAACGAGCATGCCCTGATGTGATGTTGAAATGATTGAATAGTTGAGTCAATATTTGCCAAATCTTGCTTGTTCTGTTTGATTCTCGCTTTTTCTCGTTCTTTCTACGTTGAATTGCAAAAAACGTGGATAAATGGATTTCTTCTTTTGCTTTTATTTTTGAAAAACGATGACTGCTGCTTTACCAACGCAGCTCGAACAATTGCCTGACGAACTTTTTTTGCAAATCTTCTCATATTGTGATGCGATCGACCTGTATAAAAGTTGGTCATTATTGAACCAACGTATTACAGCTGTTCTTAATGATGTTCAGCTAAGCGTCGATACATCCAGTTGGAAGAATCAAAATGAGCATATATATCTACTGCATCAACTTTCACCCAAGCTCGTTCGACTATGGACATCGGATTTGTGTCCAACGATTGATCTGGCACAAATGCCTAAACTCTCTTCATTGACAATTGAATCCCCAACGACTGAGCAGAGTGCAACTATTACTCGTCTGCCTCATCTAAAATTTCTCTCTTGTCCTGAATATCAACATCTACTCGACGCTCTGTTCTTAGACAGTCCTAACAGGAATTTCCCTTCTCTGCAGACATGTGTTTTCATGGGTAGTTATAGTCACCTTCGGTGGACTTTTCAGCCGAATAATATACTTCGTTCTCTATCGCTTGTTCAATGCTCTATCACACAATGTGATCAACTGCTTAGTTTGCTTCCATGTCTGCAACACTTAAAAATTGAGCAACTTGGTGATGATGTAATCGATACCATATTAATGAAATCATCTCATCCACTATTGACCCATCTACAACTTGGTCTTCGAAATACAGTGAAATGGTCTCATCTAAGCATTCTACTCCAATCAACACATCAGTTACGGCATCTTCATCTCTACGGCTATCATGATTCTTTCGATTTGACAATGCTAGGACAAGAGATCTTAGAAAAACGGACACCTCATTTGAAACGATTCGAATGCCAACTTCAGCTGATATCTTCGGCTAATGGTCAAATCATATCGCAACAAGCAAGTACATTTCTACAATCTGTTCGATGCAACATAAACATAACTTGATTTTGTTGTCTCTTTTAAATGTCTATCTCAGAGCTTTTATTCGAAAAGATATATCCGAAAAATCAAAAAGTATACTGTTGAATCATAATGAGGGATAGCAACTTGCCATTGCAACTAAAGAGAACTTAATAAGATGAGTGAACAACAGAATAAATGTCACAGACAGATTAAACGCGGCTTCTATCAAGGGTGTGGGTGTGTAGTTGAAGAACTGAACAACACACCCATATCCACATTCACACCCTAAAAATGCTCAATCGAAAAAACAAGGCAGAGTTCTTTGACTCTTATTCAATTTAAGTGACAATTAGCAATACATAGTAAGTCGATTTATTCATACTGAAACTACTTCTACATATAACAAAATCTAAACTTTAATTCAGAAAACTTTCATGCATTAAAATACTGTATTTACCAGATCGTTCTCCATTTTATTTCTATTTTGTATTGAAAATAAAAAAGGAACAATCACTGCCAAATCTACATATTCGTATAATACATTTGCTCATCGACATCCAACTACTTGAAAAACAAAAACTGTCAAACAACCAATACTATACAAACAGGTAATCATAATAGAATTGTATTGGATAGAGGGAAAAGAAAGGCATTATAGGTAATAAAAAAATATTAAATACAAGAAAGACTAAATAATATAAAATAAAAAACAAAATCATTGATTATCATTAGTCGCTAATCGAACACATTCATCTGGTACACATTCAGGTGCTAAAATAAAAATAAATTTTAATAATTAGTCTTATTATTATTTTTTTCTCTTTATAATTTACCTGTAATTAACGATGTTATCCGTCCCATATCAATAACAGCTTGTGAAGCTGCTTGACGTAATTGTACAAGGTTGAGTGAATTTGTTTTCCATTCATTTAATGAACGTAAAAATTCTTCCGTTGAATCACATGTAACTGTATTTTGAAATGTATCAAATATACGTTTAAGTATAAGTGAATAGGGATAAAAACGCCAATTTTTTTTTGTACGATCAGCAACATATGCATGAAAAAGTGCATAGGATGCTTCACGTGATCGACGTGTTGCTGGTATTATTGGAATACCATCAACAGGTAAACTTGTTTGATATTGTGAAATTTTTTGTTGTAATTGTTCATTTTCATGTTGTAATAAGTCAACTTCTTCTTTCATTTTATTACGTATGTCAGCAATACGTTGAATATGATTTGCAGCTAAGATTAAACAAAAAGAATAATAAAATAGACAGAATTATATAAAAAGTTACATACTACATTCAAGCATTTGTGCTTTACTTATTTTTGCATTTGATGGATCACTAAGTTCTGGGATTAATAAACGAAGACTTTCAAAACCATTCTAAAAAAAAAAGAAACATATTATAATTTTTATTGAAACAAAAATGTAACAACAAAATAATTTACTTTTATATTTCGACGACGTTTGCTTTCAGCATTTTGTCCACAACTTGAACTTGATGATGGAGAAGTATTGACTATCTATTAACGATTTCAAATAAAATTAACTATTCTCTCAAATAAATAACATGTATGAAAGTACGTTATTTTCTTGTTTGTTCTCATGAGAAAACATTTTCAATTGATTAATGGCTTTTGAAGTTGCACTCTATGCATAAAGTAAACTTCAGTGAAATAAAAAAAAACTCACAAGGATAAGTTTCATTAGACTATCTATTCATAGTTATAGATATTTTACTAGAATTCTAACCTTTGGCATGGTATATATGTACCATGCTAGAGGCTAAAATTTCAGTAATATGCCTATAACTCTGGATCGAAGGTGTAAGAGAACTTATCCTTTTCAGATTTTTTTATATCTGACAGGAATCTCCCTTACACATAGAGCTCGAATTCAAAAGCGATCAATCCAGTGAAAACATTTCCTCTTCAAGCTAGAAAAAAAAAATTTTCTCAAATGACTTTTATTTCGACTGATATGAAATAATAGAACTTCTAACAACTGCTTTATTATCTAATTTCGAGACATAAGATGGTAAACAGTAAGTAATATTCATCGAGATTCGATTCATTAGACTGTAGACTGACGAGATAAGAGATATGCATATGTAGTGAGTACCGAGACTACTCAATACGGTTTATTTTCAATTTTTTGTCAGATGCCATAACCGTTAGAAAGAATCCAACTAGTAATTCGAATAGAGAAAATAGTTTGCAACAAGAATGTAAGGAAATAAAAATTCTTATCATTTTTGCAAAGGTAAGAACTTGAGAAATCTGAAATCCTAGTTTTTCAACATCTAAAACACGTAAATATAATTTTATTTAGACTACATTGAACGATAGAGTAAATAATTCTCTGCCATGGTTTTTAGCTGAGATACAACAATTTGATGAAAAGTCAAAAAAATGGTTTTTCTACAGGAAATTGGAGAAGAAACGTTGCAGACAACTTTGAGACATTAAATTTTGTCGACCGTGGTTTACATTATCTTTCTATATAGTCTTTAAGAAATATTTAATTATCTTGGGTGCTGAAAAACTAACCTTTTGGTTTTCTCGAGTCCCTGCCTTTGAAAATCTGATAATAATGTTTTTCCTCAGATTTCTTATGAAAACAATTTTTTTCTATTCGAATTACTAGTTGACTCCTTTCTGGCGCTTACGATAATAGAAAAAAATTGAAAATAAACCTTGAATAATTTTAGTACCCACTGGAGATACAAGAGCTGCGTTATTTGTGCATATGGACATTCATGGTTACTTTGATTTTTACTTGTACAACGAGTTTTGAAAATAAATACTACGGTGACTTTTGATATCTTTCAAGATTAAAATCAAGGTAACCATGGATGTTCGTATCCACAAAAAAAGACTATATTCCAGTTGATAACAAAAAGCAGTCTAGAATAGGTGTCCGTAATGATGTTCATTTCGAATTCTATCATTTTTTTTTCAATTATGGAAGTGTCTCTGACTGTCTCGTGCAATAAAATCTAAACATACGTTATGTAAAGTATTACATAAATTAAAGTGATGATTTTATTCACTTTTGTTTTTCTAACATTGATCTTAAGATATTATTTTAAATATCAAATAATAATTGAGTGCAGTGGATGAAAATTCTCTTTATCATATATAATCATAATTGATCATATACTGACGTATGACATAGGTCAGAACTACTATCATATTTCTTCGTATCTGATAACGAGAGATATGATCATTTATAGAGTTCGTATGCTATTTCCGTTTCACTCAGTGTGTCGCTGTAGGAGTTCGTATTTCTTCATTTGCAATAAGGAGAGAAAAATTGTAATATTGATTCATGGGATACAGCAAAATACGGTCACATGTGGGAAAATACGTAGTAGATACAGATTTTATATTTTTCGTCATGGGATCCCACTCCGCGATCAATACGAATTCTTATGCATAGATGTCCTGTTTTGTGATCCTACGCAGTTATTTGTACCATCGTCAAAACTTGATAACTATGTTATAGACAGACACAGATGACTTTCTGATTCTAAACTATCCTTACAGTTTAGGGAACACTAATCTGTCATTAGGATTTAAACCAATTATTGTGTATACGTAAACTATATAGGAATAGTTTCATTAGAAAACTTTCGTGTTAGGAATTTTTAAGGATTTAGTTTTAACTGTGTATTGTCAATTAGAATTAGAGATTATACGAGAGCATCTAGTAGTCAATGGGAATTAGACGAACTGACGATGAAAACAAAACAAAATTGTATTATGTTTTTCTTATATTATTGGCAATGATAAATTTCTGTGTTTTAGTTGATGAAAATCATTAAAAATATTTGTTATTGTTTTTTTTCGAGAGAGATAATTACATTTACTATTCCAGTGAACTTCTAAAACATTCTGTATGATTAGAGATCGAGAAGTTAAATTCTAATGTAGATGAGAAGAACTGATTGATCCGAGCAATTTGTATGAGTTTTTTTTAGAAGAACACTTCGGAACATTAAAAATTTTTGTTCTGTTTCTAGTAATAGTACTTCCGAGTTTCATAAACTTTAGTTCTGCTATTGAAATACTATTCCCAGAACAGAAATTTTTCTTGAACAGCTCAGTTTCTATCAGAAGAGAACTGTTTGAACTAGAAGCCGATTGACTATATGTATGACATAGTTAAAATTAAATTTAGTAAAAGAATTTAAATCTTAAAGTGAAACTATTATTCTCTCTATATATATACAGTTGGTGATGTTATAATTTTTAATGAAAATTAGTTTTGAATCATTACCATATCATTATTTAAGAAAGATATATCTGATGATGTTGATGCTCTTTGTTGATTAGAAGATGATGAACTAGAAAATTGTTGTGGCATCGTCATAGGTATATCTTCAGAAGCTGCCCGACACAAAGGACGTTGTTGCATTCTAGCTTTACGAGTTAAAGGAAAGTTTAACATTGTTTGTGTTGGATTTGGCATATGCTAAAGAAAGATATTTTCATTAACAAAAGGAAAGAAAAGGAAAATAAATTCAATTCTTATATGAATTTACTTGAATATCATTATTTACGGATAGAAATTGTTTAGTTTGTGTTTTTTTCTGTGGTTGTTTTCTTGTTTGTTTGACTGATACAGTTTGTTTTTCTTTTGATGAGGATTTATTTAATACAGGTTGATCTAATAATGTTGATGGACGTTTTTGATGAAGAAGATTAACAAGCGTTGATGATGATGGTGATGATGATGTTGGTTTATTTATTGAATTAGATGGATAACTTAAAGTTGTTGGTTGTGTATTCATAATAACATTTGTTGATGATGGTATTATTTGTTTCATGTTTTTATTATTATTATTATTTATTGTTTTCGATAAATTTTGTGATGAATATGTATCAAATGGAAGTGTTTGTGGTGTTAATGGTTCATAATGATTATTATTATACATGCTGATTGGTGTTAATTCATTAATATTCATCTATTTCGAAAAAGATAAATTTTGATGTAAAAATAAAACATTTGGAAAAATGATTTACAGTAGAAGTATTTCGATTTAAAATACTTTTTTGATGTTCAATCGTTAAAGTTGAAGGATCAGTAGGAGGAGTAACTAATCGTGGAAAATGATTTAAATTTTGTTGTGATTGTGGTGGTAGATTTGATGTGAAATCTGTTTGTGGTTGATAAGTATTTAATGATGGTGTCTAAAGAAAAAAAAGAAGAATTTTATTTTTCAATGTAAAGCTTATTAGTATAATTCCTTTGGAACTAAAATGTGCAACTTGAATGTCTTATTTGACTTGTTACTGAAGAGTTACGGGGAAAGGAGTCTGATACTGATTATTTTCAGGTATTAGCGATGAACTCCTATCTATTGACCGTGAATATACATGAAGTTCACAATGAATCAAATAAATGGAATAGAACATAGTAAGAATGAAAGGAATGCCAATGGCAAGTTTTGGTTTTTTGAAATATATGGTGAAGTAATGTGCTTCTATTTTGTTTATCTAGCTTATTCGTTTTCAGGAGACATTCGCAGCATATTTTCTTGTGTCGCTTTAATATTTATGACCTATTGTCAATAACTTCATATTCTATATATACATATATATAAGTTTTCCTATATGTATGACAGTTTACAGTTCAGTAATTGGGGAGAATCTGAAAAAAGTGATACTGACTCATTCGTTTAGCATGAACTGAAAGCTTTTTCAAATATTTATTGTATATTTTAGTAGAGTTATTTTAAGTCTAAATGACTTAATACTAGAAAACTAAACCGATTATTCTAAAGCAACAGTTGGGATCCAATTGATTTTCCTGAACTGCGTCGCCCATTTTATATGCTTCATTGTGTCCTCTTATGTTGACATCAGCGTCTCCTAGAGCTAAAATACTTTTGTATTACTACCCTTATTGTTTACACTAACTTGTTCATATGGAGTTTTCATATTTTGAACAAATAGCACATCTAAGAAACCTTTATGAGAAAGGTAATTTTGGCTATTCAACGATGTTTGTGTCTCCAGTAGTGCAAAATGAACAATAAGTTCGCCGAAAAATTCTCAATAGTCGGCAGATCAGATATTTTCTTTTATACATATTAATGATTAAGATCGATTTGTGGTTGCTACTAGTGCTCACATGTGTCAACTATCCTTCGATAGAGTTATCGAATAATGCGTATATGAAATGGAAACTTCAATGACGAGCGGCAATTGTTTTTACACTCTACTGTAGTTTACAATCATTGAAATAAGTTTAAAATATTCAAATTCTCTTATTAGATTCCGGCGCATGTCTACTATGGCAATTGATTATCTTTGTGAGACAATTATAGTCTGCTAGAGAGATTTTCTCTTGACTTATTTTCTATTAGCATAATGCGGTAAAAAAAGCACATCCGATTTCTATATATTAGTCCCAAAAGAATTGCGCTGACAATTTCTTTTTCAAAAATAAATATCTTACAGTATAAGTATTATATCGCATATTACACAAATCATCTAAAACATAAACATGAATATTTTATTAATTATTTAAATGAAAATTTTTTTACTTGTCATTGTTTGATCTAAACCATCAAGCAATGAATTAAAATCAAAAAGACATTGACCCATGACAGGTTGATATAAATCTGGATTTCCACCAAGACCTATAAATAAATTTTAAACAACAAAAAAGTCTACTCAATATAAAAAGTCTATCTTAATTATTAGAAAATTCATAATAAAGAAAAACAGAATGAAAAAAATTGCAAAGAATAAAAACAGGATATGAAGCTAGCATAACAATAACTACACAACCGAAGGAAACAAAATGAAAATTGAAAAGCAATTAGATTATTGTTTGGGTATTAATGTGTGTAGTTATATCGATTTCTATACACACAAATGAATTGGTTAACATCGGCGAGCATTTACAATAACCGATATGTAAAAAAATAGATATATATATAGGTATGTGTATATATACGTCATTAACCACATAGATGTATATTGTTGACCATTTACCTGAGAATGGATTGTCTAAGAGAAAAATAATAAGCATAACGAAAAAAGAAACTAACTATCACCAATCGAATAAAAAAAAAATATTAAGAAGAAAACATAAAATATAAGTGAAACCTACCAGCATCTTTATCATTAAATACATTTGTTGTTGAAAAAAGTAATTGATCTTCAATTAAATCAAATTCGTCGAAGAAATTATATGATTCAGGTGGTGGTGTTGCTATACGACGACTTGGATTTATTTTTGGTGTATAACTTTCTGTAATTTTTCCCAAAAGACTTTTCGTTTCATCATTCTTAATTTCAAAAAAAAAATAAAATATTGATTTTATAGAAATTTTTCAAAAACATACTGATAAATCATTTTCAAATTTTCGTAATGCTATTTTTGAATTTTGTCTCCATTTAATATATTCACCTTTCAAACTATTTATTATTTGTTGTTTTGACTGTTGTGTTAATTGTGTCTAATCAAAAAAAAAAAAAAAACTATGAATCGTTATTATCAAAATATTTCTACATAATATAACCGGTAATATTTGTGTATCTAATGGTGAAACAAATTGACAAACAACTTTTTTCACATTTCGAACATCTAAATAAATATAATTGAAAACGTCAAACATAACAATAAATTCTTTTATTTATATTACATTGTTGATGCCATGTTCGCCATATAATATTATTTAAACGAATTTTATCTTGACATTTAATACGTGATCCACGAAAATTTTTCCATTTCGGTGATGTTAAATTAGATCTATATCGATATATGATTAATATATACTTCGTTTTTTTTTTCATTTATAAAAACTTTAGATTTTACCGATATACTGAATTGATAACACATAGAAGAGAATATAAACTAGTGAATTGACCGTTAGCTTCTGTTCGTCGTTCTGGTACACCTTGTGTCGTATCATTAAGAAAAGGTAAACCTTGTGCAGTTGCATTTGGGATGGGTGACGGACATGGAACATCAATTGGCTATAGTAGGTCATGATATAACAAAATCTGAGAAATTATCAATTAAGATTATTATTTTACCTCGGCATCATTATCAATACTTGATGTCATAAATTGACCTGAATAAAGAGGATGTTTTTCCTCTTTTTGACTTCCATTTGAATGTGCACTAGGTTCAAGCTTTATTCTTTTTGTAGCTCGAGACATGAATGTATATAGATGAGGAATAAAATCCAATCGTTTCCTTTTTTTCTTGTAATAAAAATAAACAAACAGAACAAACAACACTTCAACTAGTTTTCTTCCTTCCAAAAACAACAAACTTGTCATATGTTCGATGTCGATCGAAGCGACATCATCCGATAAGTTTCCAATGGTTTATTTATTGCACCAATTGATTTTTGCTGACAAAAAATTAACTTATCACATGTACCTATTATCGTTGTTTCTTTGATACGAAAATCTCCTAAAGCTCGTATTTCGAGCACATCTAATAAAACTAATGTCGCTTGCAGCTGACAATTTATTTCCCATAAATCGCTATTTCTTATTATTTTGCATACAATATCAAGAATGATCAGCATTAAAACTAATAGATTCTTTTTCCTATCGCTTATCGCTTTTGCTTTTATTATTTCGTAATTTTAATAGGAAAAAAAAACAGAAGAAAATTGATGATTTGTCTTTTATCGTTTTTTTCAAAGCACGCTTATCAAAAAGAAGTGTGATTTACACCGTAATGATTATCAACATTATCTATTTTCTTCTGTATTTGTTTTCAAATTGATAGTATATCTTATACTATAAATACGATACTTTAACATGAGCACTTTTTTAAATGTCAATATTATTTCGTTTGTATTGTTTACCAAAATGTTGTAGACAAACAATTGTTTATATGTCAACAACAACACGAATTATTGATGGTAAAGAAATTGCCAAGTAAGTGTAAATTAAATTGAAAAAAAAATAAATCGTTTTATTTTCTTTTTTTCATTAATTAGAAATATACGTGAAAAATGTCGTTTAATGGTTGATGAACTTCGTAAACAACAAACTAATTTTACACCTGGTTTTGCTGTTGTTCAAGTTGGTAATCGAGAAGATTCAAATGTTTATATACGACATAAATTAAAAGCAGCCGAAGAAATTGGTATTCAGCCTCGTCTTGTTCATCTTGATTCTTCAACAACAGAAAGACAAGTTTGATTGAACAAAAAATATTTATTAGAAAAAAAAAAACTTTTTTTTTTTGTAATTCATTCTTTAAAGTTAGTTCAACAAATTGAACAACTAAATGATGATCCATCAATACATGGTATTATTGTTCAATTACCATTTGATTCTGTTCAAACAATTGATCCTAATCGTATTGCAAATACGATTTCACCAGATAAAGATATTGATGGGTAAATGAAAATGAACAACAAACTTTCATTTGAAATTATATTTCTTTTGATAAATTAGATTATCAGATCTTAATGCAGGACTTTTATCACATGGAAATTTAGATAAATGTTTTGTTCCATGTACACCAAATGGTTGTTTAGAATTGATTAGATCAACCGGTATGTATGCTTATTTATGGGGTGTGGGTGTGGGTGTGGGTATGTTGTGCAGTTCTTCAACAACCCACTCCCACCTTAATCAAAGAAAAATCCTTTTAGGACTTTTATCAGAATACCAGGTGGTATATATGAGCACAAAGAAATCGTCGAAACCAGAAGGGAGCAGTTGAAGATATTCCCGCATTAGTCGAAAAGAGTATTATGCTAGAAAAAAAAAGAAAAATGATCTATGCAATCGATATTAAGACTGATTTATTTATAAATCGTCTAATGGGAAATTTATTATTAGTCAAGCGACCGAAGAATAAATAATTACTGAGAATTAGCTAGCTATTTTTCAAAAATACAGAAATAAATAATGCTTTTCCTGTAACATCTTGTCAAGTAAGAGGAGAAATTTTTTTCGCTGTGCGAACAATAACGATTACTAAATCATAGTTAATCTAAGAACTCTCTAATCCTTAGTTTAAGTGTTAAGAACAAAAAGATTTTGAATTCATCTCTCTTCAGGCTCATTCACTTCTTCCATTATAATAGTACGAATATAAAAATAAAGAATCTTCTTATAACTGAATGAGAAGACAAAAATTCAATTCTATTTTTGTTTTGATTTAGGTACACAAATTGAAGGAGCAACAGCTGTTGTTGTTGGTCGAAGTAAAATAGTTGGTACACCAATGTTTGAATTACTTAAACATAATAATGCAACTGTAACGACATGTCATTCGAAAACAAAAAATATTCCAGATATTGTATGAAGATGTAATTTGTGAAAAATTAACAAAAACAATTTTTTGTTTAGATTAAAAGGGCTGAAATTGTTGTCGCTTGTTTGGGTAAGCCGAAATTTATTCAAGGTTCATGGCTCAAAGAAAAAGCTGTTGTTATTGATTGTGGCATTACATCAGTACAAGGTATTAATACGTTTTTATTCGATTTCTTATTCAAGTTGATTATTTATTTTAGTTGATAATGGTAAAAGTCGTCTATTTGGTGATGTTGATTTTGAATCATGTCAGGGTATTGCTTCTTGGATAACTCCAGTTCCTGGTGGTGTTGGTCCAATGACTGTTGCTATGCTCATGTAATTTATTATTTATCAAAAAAAAACTTAAGTAAATATTTTCTTTCTCTTTCATTAGGCTTAATACAATCACTGCTGCTCAACGTTATTTAAATTCTTATGCACCGTCACAATGGAAATCTATGACTTATTTACCACTTACACTTGAAACACCTGTTCCATCGGATTTAGATATAACTAAAAAACAGATTCCAAAAGATATTAAACAATTAGCATGTGAAATTCATTTACATGATAATGAACTTGAATTATATGGAACAAAAAAAGCTAAAATAAAACTTAATGTACTTGAACGTTTAAAAGGTGCATCAAATGGAAAATATATTGTTGTTTCTGGTATTACACCTACACCATTAGGTAAATGAAAATTATACTTCAATGAATAAAATTTCATGTTCTCTCGTTTAGGTGAAGGTAAAAGTACAACAGCAATTGGTCTTTGTCAAGCACTTGGTGCACATTTAAAAAAGAATGTTATCGGTTGTTTACGTCAGCCTAGTCAAGGACCAACATTTGGTAAGATATAATATCTGTCAATAATAGACATGAGAAGGATCAGGTTGGTTTTTGGTTTTGGTCTCGATCCTGGAACTTCCTTACTCATATCTAATCAACAATAACAAAAATGTTTTCTTTTTCAATCAGGTATCAAAGGTGGTGCAGCCGGTGGTGGTTATTCTCAAGTTATTCCAATGGAAGAATTTAATTTACATTTAACTGGTGATATTCATGCAATAACAGCTGCAAATAATCTATTAGCAGCACAAATTGATGCACGAATGTTTCATGAAAATACACAAACTGATCAAGCTTTATATAATCGTCTTGTATCGACAGTTAATGGTCAACGAACATTTTCACCTATACAACAAAAACGTTTAAATAAATTGAATATTAATAAAACGGATCCAACAACATTAACTGAAGATGAAATAAAAGCTTTCGTACGTTTAAATATTGATCCATCAACCATAACATGGCAACGAGTTATTGATACAAATGGTAAGTTTTTTGTAAATAAAATTGAGATATGTAACTTTATTTTCTATTTAGATCGTTTCTTACGTAAAATTACTATTGGTCAATCACCAACAGAAAAAAATTTTACACGAGAAACTAATTTTGATATAACTGTTGCAAGTGAAATAATGGCTGTTTTAGCATTAACAACTTCACTTGCTGATTTACGTGAACGATTAGGTCGAATGGTTGTGGCATCTAGTCGAGATGGTGTACCAATTACAGCTGATGATCTTGGTGTTAGTGGTGCATTAACTGTACTTATGCGTGATGCAAGTATGTTGTTTTTATTTTTCGTAAAATGAATAAGTCAAACATTTGATAATAAACATTTTAGTTAAACCAACATTAATGCAAACATTAGAAGGTACACCAATTCTTGTCCATGCTGGGCCATTTGCAAATATTGCTCATGGAAATTCATCGATTTTGGCTGATCAAATTGGTTTAAAACTTGTTGGATCAGAAGGATATGTTGGTATGTATGAAGTAACATATACTAGGATGAAGATGATTAAAAACTAATTTTGTTTCCTTGAATTTTGTCTAAATTTGAAGAATAATAGTTGAGAAAAATATACTTCATAGAGAGTGTGAATGTGAGTCTTCTTTTAATCTGATATCCTCTGTCTTTCTCCATTTTGTTTTTTATAATCGATATTTTCTCGTCTATTCGAATATTAGAATAAAAATTAAATAAATAGTTTTTCACTTGAGATGTTCACCTATTAGTAGGTTTTTATAATCTTAAGTATTAATAAAAAATACTAATCGATAAATTTTTTATTCAAGTTACTGAAGCTGGTTTTGGTTTTGATATTGGTTGTGAAAAATTTATGAACATTAAATGTCGTTATTCGGGTTTGATACCAAATTGTGTTGTACTTGTTGCAACAATGCGTGCATTAAAAGTTCATGGTGGTGGACCAAAAGTTGAAGCAGGTTCACCATTACCTCCTGAATATTCACAAGAAAATCTACCATTACTTGAACGTGGAACACAAAATTTAATTAAACAAATTGAAAATGCACGATATTTTGGTGTACCAGTTGTAGTAGCCATCAATCATTTTAAGTAATTTTTGAAAAAAATTTTCAATATTTATTTCGATTTAATTAATCTGTAGAACGGATACACAAGCAGAAATTGATTTAGTTAAACGTTTAGCAATTGAAAATGGAGCTTTTGATGCTGTTATGGCTGATCATTGGGCAAAAGGTAGAAAAAAAAAATTAAATTTCATAACAATTTTACTGTATATATCATATATATATTAGGAGGAAGTGGTGCAATAGATTTGGCTAGTGCAGTAGAAAAAGCATGTTTACAAACACCTGATTTTAAATTTTTATATGAATTACAAGTAAATATTTCTATTACTAATTTATTCTTTTGTGGTAGTTTTATTCGTTTTTATAGTTACCTATTGAAGAAAAAATTCGTATTATTGCAAGAAAAATTTATGGAGCTGATGATATAAAACTTTCTGAAATAGCTGAAAAACGTATTCATTTATTTACTCGACAAGGTTTTA